GAAACTCAAAAGAGAGCAGCTTCAAACAAAGAAACACATTTGACAAACTTCACTTAAAAGTAACTTTTAAGCTTAGCCAAACAATAATTTTGTGAGGATGAAAGAGGAGGCATATTTTTTAATTCCTCTTGCTTCAGCATAAAACACAACAGGAAGACATGCATCAAAGGTGCATAACGAAGAGTCGGAAAGCAGAAAGCTCCAAAAACATCTGTAACTTGAACCATAGCACAGAAAGATGGAAAAGATTTACCAACTTCAATGGTTGTTTCTCATGATTCAACTATCTAATTCAAAAAAAAAAATAAGGGACAAACTAAAAATTGGAAGGACATTCAGTTGCTAAGGTTTCGAGAGCAGGTATCAAACACGAACATTGTTGTCTCAGTATTAATTTTGCTCCTAGTTCCTACCTACACAACAGTAGTTAGACCTACTATGCTTTAGGTTAAGAGTGTTGTACTCTTTAAAGGGTAAAAAATCTATCAGATGAACATAGCTTAAATAAGGATGCTAAGATGGACAAGTGGTTGTACTAAAATACAAGACCTATTATCTCAATTGCATCACATAGCAACGAAAGAAATGAAAATTGAAAAACTAACCTTCAGTTCGTCCTTGCTGGAAACGGAACCTTGCCCTGGCTCTCAAACAATTTCATGTGGGCCAAATCTCAAGATCTAAAGGGCAAAGATGGAGACAGAGGGATTAAATCCAATGATTCACCGGCATTGAGTCTTCATTTTGCGGTTTATCTATTTCAAAAACAACAGAACTTCTACACTTCTAATATCAAGATTACACCCCATTTTTAATTCTTCAGCTCGATCCCGAGGCTCAAGTCTAAATAAAAAATGTTATCGAGTTTTCCCACGAAGTTAAAAGAACATCGACGCAAATTCATCCAAACCATTTTACTCTATTCTAATGCAATCCATAATGTTGGCTTCTGAACAATTTGACTATAAAACATTTTTCCGACTGTAAGCAACCATGTAATAATGAAAGAAGCTTAACAAACAGAAGAATAATGCACCAGACAGTTTATTCCTGAAGTTGCAACAAATGAACAGCATTAAACCCATCTTAAGTATATCTTTCAAGATCTAAAGGAGGCATTTACGGATAATCAACAGGATCTTTTAACATTATGAAATCCTTTAGAATCATATCTACTAAAAGAATGCAAAAAGGTCTACGAGCATTTCATGACAATCCCACAACTTATTCGATATCAGTATTATGTGAGTCTCAGGGAAAAGAAAAAAAGAACTGAACCAACTTATCAAAAATCGGTATTCATTAAAAGGACTTAATATAAGCAAACATTTCAAAGCTACAAATAAAAGCAGCAATTAACTCTCACAAATAAAATGAAGAAACAATAGGAAACATTTTAACATGCACACAGTGATACTCCTTTATGAGTTAATGTTGTTCAGAGAATGAACAAGAACATCCAACGGCTATAATATGCAGAAAGTTTAAATAAAGGAGACTAAAACAAGACCCTAAACAAATAATACACATTCCATTAACAGCATCTATATATAGCTCCACAAGTAAGTTCCAAACAATAATTTTCACTGATCAGCAGTAGCACTCAAGGGAAACAACCAGAGCACCGTATCAATCCATTCTCGTTGCAATCAGGGCACCTTCTCATTCTCCCTTCGTCTTCTTCATAAATTTTCCGACTTCCATTGCAATTTGAGCATGGCACAAACCTTGCATCCCCACAAATCTCACACACAAACACCAAATCCATAAGCCGAAAACCTTTCAAAAGCTTAGCCAACTCTCCAGCCTCATTAAGCTGATTAATCTCCTCTGCTCCACCAATGTATTTCCCCCTAATGAACACTTGTGGCAAGCTCACAGGGTTGTCTTTCAAGACCTCTTGCAGCTCCTTTCTATATGACGAGTCCATAGAAATATCCCTCTCATCCACGCACACTTTATATCCCCTGAAAATCCCCCTAATGGCACAACAATTCTCATAAGTCTTCCTAATCCCCCTCAAACTAGTGTAATACAATATAATTCGATCCTCAGCACCAGATAAATAATACAACTCATTATCAGTTGACACTGAAGAACTCACATTATTCGATTCCAAAGACTCCATCTTTTCGGCTTTTGAGATATCTTTGGTCATTTCATATCCATGTTGCCTAGCAAACAATGCCTTTCGATAACTTGAGACCACATTGGGATCCATTTTTGCTAGCAACGATTCCTCAGACAAATGCTTCCACAACGGCTTGGAATCGGCATGCTCTACAAATTCATAGGATTTCACTAGCTCACTAGAATCAAGATCTTTTCTATTGGCCTTCTTGGGGTAGTCAATGAGGTGGAAATTGAATTCATAATCATCAAGCCCTTCCATGAGCTCCCAAGTATTGATAACAGAGTCTGGAGACAAAGGATCCTCAGAATTGCCAAAAATTTGACTTTTTTCCAAATGGGGCATCAAATTGTCGAAATCTTGGCCACTGAAATTGGGATTTGATGGTTCAACGAGTACAAGGGAACCATAAGTGGTGGAGGTCAAGGAAACAAAATGATTAGAATCCCCTTTACACAGAGGTGGGTGGTGAACCAGAGGGCTAGGGAGAGAGAGAGTTCTTGAAACAGGAGTTGAACAATGGTCTGAAAATGGAGACTGCAACTGGGAATTTGAATGTGAATAAGAAGAATTAGAGTTGGGATTTTTCTGTTCAGCGATGAAATTACTGGGACAAGAAGCTGAACACCCCATGAGGACTGGAAAGTTGAAAAAATATCAAAAAATAGCCAATAGGGTTCAAGAAAATGAAGGTTGATCTCTTTTCTCAATCCACTCTTTTCTTGTAAAGTACAACCATTGGTTTTTCTTTTCCCTTTTTGTTTTTTAGTTATCAAACTTTTTTGGTTTGTAGAAATGGAGATTTGGTTGATAATTGGGATTTGGGAGTCTTGGGGATGAACAGTTGGCGTGAGAAGTTTGTCAAGGGACGGAAGAGTGTGGTCGTGGTGGAGGAAGGAAGAAGGGTTGAGGGAATTGAATGCAATGTAGATAGAAAGGGATTTGACATTTGAGAGGGAATTGACAGAGACAGCAAACTAGCTGGTCCTGTGTTGGGTTTGGGTGGGGTGGGGTGGGGTGGGGTGGGGTTTAAGTGTAATTGAATAGTTTGGGTTTTTACTAAGGTAAATCATCATGAGCTTAATGCAAAAGCAAATTTTCAAGAAATTAAGTAGTTTAAGCTCACTGTACATCTATTACAG